TCTAAGTGCACATTTAAAAATTGCATTTATTAATAAAAAATGAGATATGAATTTCGTGTCGATCTGTGTTTTTATCATGGAAAATTGAACTAATTTTAATTCATCATTGCATTTCTATTATTTAACAATATATTTTTTATTAAAAAATAAATTCTTAGTTTAGTGACGATTATAATATTTTTTATAATATTTTCATTTTTGTGACCTGATGGTAACTAATATCGCATTGAGCGAAACGTGATCACAAAGAAGTGAGAGACAGTGAAAGAAATGTATCTGTCACACGTCACTGGCGTCGTACATCCAAGATTTTAGGATGACAGATTCGAGAAGCATCTGCTCCTTCATGGCAGATCTTAGAGTTCGGACTTTACGGCCGTTCGATATATATCTTTACAAAGCGAAAGTACAGACAGAAAAAAAAACGGAACGGTAATCCCTGCGAAGGTTCATCCATGTGTCATGCGTTCTTCTTCGGTGCGCGTGCTCTTTTCTCACCGCAGCGCGTGTATCATGGACACGCGAGTGGCGTATATAAATTATACGGCGTAATTATATCTTCGCCTATATATCGGGCGACGTACGTTGGTTCATTTCCGTCGTGCCAGACCGTTCCCCCAATATAAACGTCACCGCTGGCGAGTGTTCCTCGTAAAGTGTTCCTCATATTCCGTTTAGTTCTTAAAGTGCCACCGGCATATATTCTGAGTCATTCCATGATTAAACATACGCGTAATTGGCGAATCGATCGTTCCCTTGCTGATTAATTTATTGTCTATCTTTTCGAATTTCTGGTGCGGAAGTGAAACAACAAATTGCTTTACGTTTTATGAATTGTGTATGACAGGTTTTTTTTTAGCTAACTGCATGTTCGTTAAAAATTAATTATTAAACACATTATATAATATAGTGTACTACCACTCTGCAATATGATAATTTAATAATATATATATGACTTATTTAAAAATGAAAGAGAGAGAGAGAGAGAGAGAGAGAGATTAAAATTAGAATTTTTGTATATTTCTTTTAGTACATATTTTATTTATTTTATTTGGTAATTATTTTAATCGTTATAAATAAGCAATAATTAAGAAACATATATATATAAATTTGATAAAAATTATTTTTTTAATTATATACTTTAGTTTTACAATTTATATCAATTTGACAAAATGTTCTTTCGGAATTAAAGAATTTTCTTTTCGTTGGAATGTGCTTGTGTTGTCTTTGAATTCGTATTGCAGACGGAGAATTATACTGTTGAAGCATCGAACGTACGGTATTTTCTCGTATCTCTTATCGCACGATTCCTCGAGTCACATACTAGAGCAATGTGAATTCTGCCTCGTGGATGCGATTTACAAACCGACATAAAGAAAGTCCTGCTCGAGTTTCGCAAGGATACAAATAGCTTCGTTTTGTCCAGTATATTTTTACGAACTAAGGCCATATACTTTTGCGTTTTGTGTATTTTATGAAAAATTACTCTCAGAGAATAAAGTTATCTACAGAAAGCTAGAGAGAGTGATCCTCAGATAGTGATATAAATATGAATATAAAAAGATTTCACAGACTTTATATAAGTAATACTGTTCTT